TGTAGCACAAGCTTTTGACAGGGTGTGGCACCCGGGCATGCTTTATAAACTCAAACGCTNTACATTGAGATCACATTTGTATTATGTACAAGTATGTATAGGCTACAAATAAATAAATTAAAAAAAAAAAAATAATTACTTTGGTTAACTAGGACCAACTAAATACATATAGGTTGTACATGTTTTTCAAATATAAATGTTAACGAACATCTTGAATTGAGCATGAGTCGTTATAAAAAATGTAATAAGCATTTTTATTTGTAGAATTGTGTAAAGGGATGTAACGAAATTGAGCCTGGTTGACATCGTCAAAACGACCCTCTTTGCAAAACTGTCGGTGGAATGGACCCAGTTATGTAATAATGAATACAAAATTCCGTCAGAAAAGTCGGTGATATTATTTAATTTATCATTTTTATATTGTTATTGATAAAGGTTAGGATATTAATATTTTTAATTGATAAAAAGGGGTAATTGTGCTTCTTGTGTAGGGTTGAAATTCCCGGTATGGCTAATTTGAACTCCTGGAAACTGGCAAGTTTGAACTAATGTTGAGGTAATTGCGTTTTGAATGATACCATTAATTATTGCGGAACTTATTAATTGGATTATTCGGCAAGCCCTTGTCGAAATGGTTTATCACCTGGGGTGCGTCGGCCGATTCCGAGTGTGGGATTTTTCTCCGCCGTCTCTCGCTTTCCGGCATCCCATTAGCAAGGGCTTGTTGCAATATTAAAACAAAGTTATCGACTAACTAGATGAGTCCGGGCCGGCTGGGACGCGGTGAAACTACGTGTGTGTCGTTCCGATGACATTTTACGACGTGGGACTTACACGAGAGGACTTAACTCACAAGGCGGATGGAGGAACAAAACTTTAACGCTTATAGTCTTGAAATAGTCGGAAAATAAAAAAGGAAAAGGTGGCCAATTATCCAGGCAGAGGCGGTGTCAAAAGGGTTGTTAGTTTCAAAGAAAGAACAGAAGAAGAAAGAAAATTAAAGATTAGGATAAGCAAAGAAGTAAGAGTGAGTGAGGGGGGAACTAAGAGAGAAAAAGTAAGAGAGAATTTAGTATTTAAATATTTCAAAAAATTGTGTAAATTTATAATGGATAATAACAAGAAAAGATACAAATTATCTATAGAAAAGAAATGTTAAGAGATAGTATAAAAAATCCAATTAGTGATAAAGTGGTCATATTCAGAAAGATTCCGTAGATGTCGCTGCTGTTTTTCTAATTTGCCTTCCCTTATTTTCCCTAATAAAATAATACAAATTGTGTCGTCGACAAGTTTTTTTTTTTTTAATTCTATTATTTGAATTATTATTAAATTTAGCTTTTAGTTAGAAAGAATTCTTACTTAAATTTATTGATAGTTTTTGTCTAAAGTGTGGTAAATGAAAAATTAATGTAGAGAGCTGGATTCGAACTTATGATCTTCATCAACTCGACCTTCAACTTCGTCAAATTTCCATCTTTTAGTTATATAATCAAATTTAGTATGATCGGATTTGATTCTCGGCGACTCATGAAGTGGCCACGGGAACTAGCGTAGTGCAAGGTTGCTTCGGTAATTATATTAATCTTTTGTATTTTAGTTGATTCTATTGGACCACATTTTACATAAAAATGATAAGGCAATTTAAATAATTACTTTGGTTAAAATAGGGCCAACTAAAACTCATAAGAAGTCTTGATGTTAGAAAAGTGCCATTGTCATATTCGGGAATATTCCGTAGACATCGCTGCTATCGTTTTCCTATGTTGTCCTCACTACTGTTCTTAATGAATTTTTGCTAATTATGTCAATTAGTGATTGTTGCTGTTGAAAGGTTGAAAGAGGGAATGAGAAGTGTGTGTGTATGTGACTAAAAGAAAGGGGGATAGAGTTAGATAGATTTATATATCTTGATAAATAGATACATCTACAGAGATAAATAGATAGATACAGAATTCTATAAAAAAGGATCAAAATATGTCATGTACTGAAAAGAAATCATAGAAGAAATATTAATCAGTAAATTGGTCATATTCTAAAAGATTCCGCAGATGTCGCTGTAATCGATTTCCTAATTTGCCCTCACTTACTTTTCTTAATAAATTATTACTGATTATGTGAATTTGTTAATTGTTGAATTGTTATTGAAGGAGGGAATAGGTGTGGAATGGAAGAAGATAGTCACTGTATTATTCGTATTAATATGCAGGGTAAATCAGTTCAAAAATTGAAACGCACTTTTTTAAAATTATTATTTGAGTTTATCAAGCTGTTTGAAATATTGTACCCATGTTTTTTTTTCTTTTAATCCTACTTGAAAGGGGCGAAACGAACCAGATTCGTGGATATCGCGTTCCAGAGTAGTGTCATCGCCGTCTGTATTAGGTTTCCATAAAACGATTTATCATGCTTGATTTACCTCCGCGTTTGATTAGGTCTGCGATATTTTTCGAGGGGATTTTGTTTGAATAAATTCACACCACATGGGCAGAAGACTGACAATCCCTGCTCAATCGTTATCGATTTTAAAATCAAAAATATTTCCGTTCGTCGGGAAATGTGGTGTAACAATAAAAGGTGTAAAAAATAAAACCTTGACATCAAATACATACAAGCGAAGAAAACAACACCAAATCAGTTATAATAATTTTTCTGGTTTCAGCTTTTCCAGTTTAAATAAACAACATAAATCGGTAATAAAACACGGAATATCGTGCTGACATGGGCAAATAGCGTGTCGCCGATGGTAAAATAAATTTAGTAAAAAGGACAATATAAATAATCCAATTTAAATAATAAATACGATTGGCAAGGAAATGGAAAATATAATAATAATAATAATAATAATAAGTAGACAGTTCAAGCATAAAACATACATGCCGCACAAATAAGACATGTTTGGCTAAATATACAGCTATTTTATATTCATGAAAAGTTAATTAAGTTTGTGGCTTCCTTACTTTTCTTCGTTTCTATTAAACATTTTTCTTTTATGCTGAATATTCTGATTGAATCTTTCTCTTTTTTCATGTACTCCAGACAATTTATTAAATTTGTACCTCATTCATTTTTTCAAGAAAGCCCTCTCAGAAATAGAGGTAACAAGAAAATTACCATTGTTTTTGTACCAGGGCGTACAGGGCAAAGAAGCAACTAGTAAGTTGATAAATTGTTCAAGGAAAGTTCGATGGGGGGGGGTTTCAAGGAACAGAAAATTGGTTGAAAATAAGTCCTCTGTTCAATAGGGTTGTACTCCAGGAGATATGAATAAAGGATTAAAGGACCATTACAGAATTGCTAAGGAGGTGCTAGGATGAAGAAGAAGAAAGGAAAATCCAAAACCAGAAGAAACACAAATGGGAGCCCTTTGCAAAGTCTGGTAACCAATAGTCAATAATGTAGATGGTTGATAGACCAATATTTGCCAGCAAGTTCGTAAAAGCCCCCATAACCTAAACCTGAACACTGTCTTTTTCACTGCTATTTCTGTCATTATGACCTCATTATTTTCTTAGTTGTTGTTGTATTTGTCATCGTTATCAGACAAACAAACCAACAATAACAACAATTACTAATTTAAACAATCTGTAATAATGTAAAAAGTCTGGGTAAATTAGAAAAGCGGTAGCAGCGACATCTTCGGAATCTTTCCGAATATGACCACTTTATTTCCGGCATTTTTCTACTATCCTTAACATTCATTTTTTCTATTTCACGTATTTTAATCTTTTTTTAGATGAAATTTTTTTTGAAACAATTAGGTACTTAAGTTAATAATAAGCATAATAAGGTAATTAAAAAGACAGATAGTCTTAGACATAAATACTCTCGGCATAAACGGCTGTGGATCCTTATTATCTTTAACTAATACGTTTCCCTCTCTCTCTCTCTCTCTCTCTCTCTCTCTCTCTCTCTCTCTCTCTCTCTCTCTCTCTCTCTCTCTCTCTCACTCTCTCTTTCTCTTTCTTTCTTTCTCTTCCTCTCCCCAGTTCTCTTTATTTTCTTGGGTTTTCTACCTTTTTGTCTGTCTAATAACTATTTATGTCTTACTTTTCATTCTCTCTCTTCCTCTCCCTAGTTCTATTTATTTTTCTTGGGTTTTCTACCTTTCTATCCGTCTAATTACTATTTATGTCTTACTTTTCATTCTCTCTCTTTCCTTTTCTCACACCCCCCTCTCTCTCTCTCTCTCTCTCTCTCTCTCTCTCTCTCTCTCTCTCTCTCTTTCTTTCGTTCTCTCATTAAAGATTTCAATGGAAATTTCAATTGAAAAAGTATTCCAGATTTGGTAGGTTAGATATTTAAATTTTGTGTTCTCTGTTCATTGACATAAATAATCCAAGGTATTACTAACAAATATGGACTTAGCATTAAACTTTATACTGGTCCATAAAAAACTTAAGTATTTATTTTAAGATAAATATTTTCTGTGTCACTTTAAAAAAAAAATGTTTTTGGTTGGTTGGTCACAGTGAATTGTCGAAGATGTTAAGATAGTCTTAACCCATTTAACTGAATTTTATTATGGCTGCATAACCCAAATTCTTGCATTGAAATGATAAATAAACATTGTATAATTAATTATTTTGTTATTTGTTTGTTATCGATATGCATTTCAGTATTTCACCACATTCATTGTTTGGCCTTTTTATTTTTTAATACTTTTTTAAATTTTATTTATTTATTTTTTGTTGTTGTACCGTATCAGTGATCCTAGTAATTTATAGTAAGTAGTATTTGACAAATAATTCCTGGAAGATATAAATAAATTATATACAATAACCATGATTTAATGATGGTTTTAACTAATCATGTACTGGTTTGCATGTTTTTAACATTTTTTTAAACAATGTTTGTTTAATTTTTTTTAATGAATCAACCTTTTGAGTATTTTTAATTTTTTTTTTTTTTTTTTTTGTGATTTGCCTTGTATTTTATTTGATATTTTTTCTGGTTTTATGGATAGAAAAATATTTATAACATTATTGTTTTTATTGCAGGAGACTGGGAGCAAAAAGGCGGAAGAAAAAGGGCCATGTGACAGGCGAAGGTCCAGCCTGGGCCTGCCCCTGACAGAGGGTAGCCTCCACCCCACCGGCTCGGTCAGGGCGAGGTCCCCGAGCAAAATGTCAAAGTACATCGAATGCTGGGGAGCTGACAAACCGTTCGCAAACATAACAGAATCCACCCTCGCCAAAAACATTGGCCTCGCGGTGAGACTTTTGAAAAACAACATTGAAGCATCGTCTCACAAGACATACTTAAAGCTGCTTAAAAAGTTTATTGAGCTTAAAATGTTAACCAGTACTTATGACTTTGAAGTAGTCATGACCTTTTAAACAGTCTGAAAAGTTTCCTTTCTAAAATATTATTTTCTTTCTTAAGAAACAACCACAAACCTTGCTCAAAATAGGCATATTGTCTTATACGGAAAGATAAATAAATTTAAATACAGATTTTTTGTTTTTGTTTTTGTCTTGGTGTGAAAAATAACTAATTAATTTACAACTTTGTTGTGCTAGTTTTTGTAATTTTTAGTAAAATTATTCTACATGAATGCATTTTTATTATTTTTTAAATTTACATTTTCTTATTCTTTATTATTGTCATTCTTTGTGTAATATTTGTTTTGTTTCTTGCTTCACAACATTGAAGTTGTCAGTAGTCAAGTTTTTTTTTATTCTTTCCAATTTAATTTGCTTTATCTAACATCACACCTAAATATTTTACTGAATTCTGTAACCGCTCTACTTTACGTTGTTTGTTGAAGGCAATTTGAAAAGGAAATATTTACAGATTTCTGGTCGTTTATTTTGATCTGAGTATGCCATTGACTGTCATTTGCTTTCTAATTGTATGGATACGTACTATGCCGTTGGTAACTTTTTGACGGTTATGTTTTCTATTTTTGTTTTTTTATATCTTTCAAATTGTGCAACAACAACAATATCCCATTTGTAACATGGTTGTTATCTACGATACATCTAACTAGCCAGCACAGCAAGGATAGTCAGACCAGAATGATCAGTAATGATCAGACTGTAGTGTCATAACCTTGCAGACCAAATAGAGAAATATCACATTTGTCTCATTTATAACTTTAAATTAACTTATAATAATAATAATTTTTTAAATTGCAGAGTATAGCCATGATAGAATCAAATCTACTCCCGAACAAAGGAAGTTGTATGGAATTCAGGTGATTGTATTTTATTATTATTCTTTATGGACCTTTAACATTTGGACATTTGTTTATGCATTTGCAGCTGTTGGACGCAGAAAGATGGAATGAATCCGGCGACATTATGGTTCCTTGAGAAGAACCACGAACGGCAGTACAGGATCAAGCCGGATCCACAGTTCAAGAGTTATATTGTGTTCGCGGTTGTCATATTTCTCTCGATAGCCGCTATTCAGAGCCTGACGGTCCAGAGGGCGATGCTTCTCTGTCTCGGTTTCATACCAACACTCCTTGCCCTGCTCCTACTTGTTTACATCTCTCGGCTGGGGTCGTCGAGTGACAGCACGACTCCAGACAGTTCAAGAAGTGTCTTGGAGCACAGCCGTTGGCTCAGGATCACAGTTGCAGTCTTTGTCATCTTGCTCATTGCCACCTGCGCCATGATCACACTTGTAAGTCTTCAACGAGATTCAAACAAACAAAAAACAATGAGTTGCTATTTTTCAGTTAGACGTACAGCCCGATGTTCCAAAAGAAGTCGAGCTAAGCACAGAACAACTGACCTTCAACAAAACCAACGACAAACGTATCATAACACTCCTGGATGATGACCTTGTTACAGCAGTACCTGTAAGTTACATAATAATGTGTTGTTCATTTGCCAAATTTTGTTATTTGTGATTACAAATATACAATTATTTATGTATTGCAGTCCTATTTATATAGCAGTATGCTGTCATTAGCAGTGGTGTCAGTTTTCTTGAGAATCGGATTCATTCTGAAGCTCTTCCTCATGATCATCGTCGGCGGTGCCCATTATGCCATATTCACCAATTCTGAATTGTTCAGATCTTATTTTGAAACTTACAATGACAGGTACACAGCAAATCAATTGTTTAAATGAACTTTTGTTTAACAATAAATTTTTTTTTTAGTTTGACTGAAATGCCCTGGATGATGAAAATTGCTGTTTTCTTAAGTTTTACTGTTGTAATATTCCACATCATGGACCGACAGGTTGAATTCACTGCAAGAACGGAGTTCCAATGGAAGACGAGGCTCATGGTCGAGCAGGAGGATGTCGAAACGATGAGAGGCATCAACAAGATCCTTCTTGAGAACATCCTGCCCGCTCATGTGGCGCATTTGTTCTTGACGAAAGGTCCGACTCAGGAGCTTTACCACGAAAGGTACACGTCAATTGCGGTGATGTTCGCCTCTATTCCCAACTACAAAGAGTTCTACGATGAGAACGATGTGAACAAACAAGGCTTGGAATGTCTTCGTCTCTTAAACGAAATAATTTGTGATTTCGACAAGCTACTCCTCAAACCGAAATTCAGCTGCATTGAAAAAATCAAGACAATAGGAAGCACTTACATGCTTGCTTCAGGTCTGGAACCTGGTAAAGAAGACGCTGGTGGTGTATGTATTTATTTCATATTAAAATATATATATAAAAGAATAATTTTAAAAAAATTATATTCTATAGAAAGAGGTTAAACATCAAGGTCATAGTGTGGTTGCACTAGTTGAATTCGCTGTCGCCCTAATGACCATCCTGGATCAAATAAACAAAGAATCATTCCAGAGGTTCAAGCTCAGGTTCGGGCTAAACCACGGACCAGTGATCGCAGGGGTTGTCGGTGCGCAGAAGCCTCAGTATGACATTTGGGGCAATACCGTAAACGTGGCATCCAGAATGGACTCGTGCGGTGTTATTGGAAAAATCCAGGTACATATTAAAAAAAAAGGATTAGCAGTTTTTAATATTTTTATTTGGAATTGCAGGTGACGGAAGATACTGCACACATTCTGATGGCCAATGGTTATGACTGTGAATGTCGAGGGCCAACATTTGTGAAAGGCAAAGGCACATTGATGACTTACTTTGTCAAAACCCAGTTTGATGAAAAATAATAATTTAAAAAATCAACCTATAAATTTTTTAGAAAAGTTTTTATTTTTTAACTTTTAAATAAGAATTTCCCCTTGAGATATTTAACTGATGTGTGTATATTTAATAAAAATTGAGAAATCGGATGTTTTTCGGTTTTGATTTTATCTTTTAGAAATATTCCAATAAAACAATTTATAATTTATTATTTTAGAATAACCAACCAAGGATCTCATTATTTTTCTAACAAAATATATTTCTCTTTGTTTATCAATATTTTTTTTTCAGAGTATTAAAGAAAAATTGTATTATTTTTATATTGATTTGAAACGGCAGTGGAAGACAAAATCTTCAATTTCTGTGGGCTCAAACTATTTAAAACTTTTTGTAAATAATTGTAAATTATAACCTATTGTGGTCTGCAATGTATGTCCAAAAGATTTGATTTAAGATTTTGTTACTCTGTATAAAATCCCTCTCCTTTGTGTCTCTTTTTTCCATTTGTATATACTGTGTATAATTTGTATTCGAAATTTTTTTGAATAGAAAATGTTTTGTTCGAAACGGATTTCTGTTGGAAACCTTAACACGAACCGAACGACGGCAAAGTGACATCATAATAAATACCTAGTGGCTCAAAGAAAATAAATAATAACAAAATTTCAACTTAAAAGAGCTCAAAATTAAATGACAAAGAATGTTACAATTTTTTTTAAAAAGAAAAAAATCATGTTTTCCAACTCTTTATTTTGCATGGATGTAATGCTTTATGAAGGCGCTTTGAAGCCAAAGTAGTTCCCCATTTTTATTCATGTGTACTACAATATTAATACAATGTGAACTTTTAATGATCACAATGACAAGCTTGATTGTATTTTGATATAGCAATCAACACCTAATCATTTATAATATTTAGTCAACAATTCTACCATAACACTTATGATTATATGCTTTTCACTTATGTTGGTTATACTTTCACCTCACTCTTTGTTTACATCCATCTAGTAGTAACGATTAAACCATTTGACTTTTATTTTGTTTTATTTTTTAATTCAACTTACAATAATTAAGTCTCACTTATTAAATCATTTTTTATTTAAATGATAAACTCATAAAAGTCCATATAACCTAATCATTAAAAGAAAACCTAATGCCAAAAATTCTTCCATCTCAATTAATTCACTATATATTCATGTATGATTTAAACAAGTTACCATTCATTACATTTTCATTTTGACAAATTTCAATGAATCAATTATATGTCATTATATCAATATTTAATGAAGTTATGTATTTATATCATCTAACCTAATCATAACTGAGCAATATTGTGCAACGAATTGTTTCTTGATTACCAATTGTCTTTTGTTTAATTTTACTACAAATTAAAATATAATTCACTGGTTAGGTCCATTTTCGCTTCAATTAATTAAATTATAAATTCGTATAAATCATCTAACCTAATCATAACTGGACGATATTTATATATACAAGGACAGTATCTTATATATAATAATTTGAAATATCAGGCCAAAAATATTCATTGTTCTCATTACCCTTAGATTTTTTGAAGATAAAGATTATTCCAACTTAACCTTGTTCATGAAACCCATAGCAAAAAAGGTATATTGTGAACTGTTGATGATCATGTATGCTGTAACAATCAACACAAAACATTGATAAACTCTGATCGACCATTTTACCATAGCACTTATTCTGCGGTACAGAAACCAGTTTTGACTGTTCAGTTTGACTTTAATTTTCAAATTTAATCCATTGGTTAGGTTATTAATAAAAGTTTTTATAACCAATTGCCAAAAATTCTTCCATCACAATTATTATTTTATTTCTACTAATGATTTGTGCCAGGTGTTATAAGTAACATTTTCACTTTGGGAAAATTCGATGATTCAATTATGTGCTATTACATCATTAATGACTGAGGTTTTATGCTCATGTAAATAATTTAACCTAATCATGTCAGTCATTGTTAAATTAATATTAAACCAGTCATTTCATTAAATTTTATTTTTAATTTACATTATAATACACTGTTTATTGTTGCTCATTTAATTAAATTACATCTCATTTAAAAACCTAATCTAATTACTAGAAAATAACAGACAAGCAATTTTTCCCTTCTACTTATTCCGGTTATATATCAAACCTGAGAGTGATTAAAAACTATTAGCCTTTTTAATTTTAATTCAACTTTCAATAAATTAGTTTTATTCATCAAATAATAAATTAATTAAATTATACGCTCATATAAATCATATAACCAAACCATAACTGGATTGGTTATATGGCACATGGCAGGAATTGTTCCATCTCAATTATTTTGGAATAAATCTATCTAAGAATCAATTCAGTTGCCATTATTTTCATTCTTACATCAGGATAATTCAATGAATCAGTTATATTCATGAATGAAATTATACACTCGTATAAATCATCTAACCTAAAAATAACTGGTAACTGTCATGCCAGGAATTGTTCCATTTCAATTATTTTGGAATAAATCTATCTATCAATCAATTTAGTTGCCATTATATTGATTCTTACTTCAGGATGATTCAATGAATCAGTTACATTCATCATATCATTCATGAATGTAATTATTCACTCATATAAATCACCTAACCTAATCATAACCCGTTTGCGTTTTATTGACTTTTGGCTTGAACTTTTAAATATAATACAATAGTTCATTTGATGTAATTAATGAATTTAATGATATAGTCATATAAATCACCTAACCTAACCATGGCTAGACACTTGGTAACAATTCCATTGAATTCAAGTGTTTATTTTCTTCTACGTTACAAACCAGTTATTTCATTGGAAATTTTATAGTTATCCAACCAATTGAATGTTTTTCTTTTATAAAGATATTTCACAGACAGAAAAAAATTCAAGATCGTTCCTTTTCTACATCACATGCAAACTATCAGGTATGATTGATCATGATCCACTGCCATACACTTTAAAGCTTTTCTCCAAAAGGAACCTCAATCGCCAAAACAACTAAATAAAACTCACCTCATTTAAAATCAATTTATTTGGCAGCTGGTTAAAATATATGTCCTGAAAAGGATTGAGGATTTTGGGAATATCAAAACATGTTCGTTTTTTTATTAGTTTATTTTGAAAAATATACATCATTAATTAATTATTGACCAAGTTTAAAAACAAAATAAGCCACAATTTTTTCAGTAAAGCACACTTTGATTTATAACTACATTATGCGATATATATAATTGATATATGATTCCAAAATACAGTTTTATATGACATTCAATTCATAAAAGGATCCTGCATACATTGGAGTTAGTTAGGAACTAAGTGCAAAGTTCAAATGTTATAATTATAGTATAATTTTTAGATGTTTTTTCAATCTTTGAAACTAGCTGACTGGGTCTTTATAAATTAATAACTGTAAAAATGGATAATTGTTAAGTGTAGGAAAAGGTAATTCTCAGCCAATTACCATCCTGATAAAAACTAAAAAATAAAAATTAAGGCGACAAATTTGGTTAAATATGTTTACTACTTTTTAGAAATTCGTTATATAAACATTCTGAATTCTTAATAACAATTGGACTAATTGAGCAGAAACAATTGGCCTATACTAATAAATGTAAAATCCTAACCTAGCGATGAAAACTGGGCAATCAAAATGACAAATGAAATGCTTACCAACTCGTAAAAATGTGTGATAAAAGTATCCTGACTGTTAATATGGTGTGATGGACAATTTGGGCAGAAACAATTGGCCCCTACTTAGAAATATTTACCAATACAACATCCTAACCTAGTGATATGATGAAAAATGAACAATTAGGATGAAAAATCTGGACATAAATGTCTACCAATTCCTAGAAATTTGGGATAAAAACACCATGATTTAATGATGAGAATGCATTGGACAGGTTGGACTGAAATAAGTGTCCTCTAATTAGAAATTCACCAATTCAACATCATAACCTTGCCATATCGTGAAAACTGGACAAATTGTAAGACAGATTTGGACAGAAAAGTTCTCAAAATCGCCGACATTGTTATTTCAATACCACGAATTCTTGATAAAAGGACATCGGTTAATTTGGACAGAAATAATTTCCCCTAATTATAAAATTCATATTGCTACCTGACCATTTAGAGAAAACTGAACAATTAGGATGACAAATTTGGCCAGAAAAGTTGACCAATTTGTAAAACGCGTGTTAAAAACCCTCCTGACATGTTGTGGGGTGCATTGGACAATTTGAGTAAAAATTATTGGCCTCTACTTAGAAAGATTGACCAATACAACATCCTAACCTAGTGATGTGATGAAACTGAACACTTAGGACAAAAAATCTGGAAATAAATGACCACCAATTCTTAGAAATTTTTTATAACAGCACGACGAGGATGCATTGGACATTTTAGACTGAAACAAGTAGCTTCTAATTGAAAATACACCAGTGCATCATCATAACCTCGATGTATAGTGAAAACTGGACAAATTGTACTACAGATTTGGACAGAGATGTTTACCATTTCGGAAAAATTGTCAATTCAACATCAATTCTTGATGAAGAATACATCGGACTATTTGAACTATTAGTGAGCTCTATTTAGAAATACACCAATTCAACATCATAACTTTTTCATATGTGAAACTGGCCACATAATATGAGAAAGTTGGACAGAAATGTTTATCGATTCTATAAGAATAAAGTTTAACAGGTAAAATTATGTTTGCATTTTTCGGAGTTTGTTAGATCTTTCAAGGACTGGTCTTTAGAAATCGTACGAGATAAGATGGATAATCTCTAACTTAAAAAAATGGTAAATCATAACAAATTAACGGTGATTAATAGATGGAGGTGGTTATTGCCCGGAGGAAGGAGATGAGGTCGAAGTAGCTGAACATCTGGCGTTGGGTGGGATCTGGTCCCGGGCCAAAAGTTGAAAAGATAAAACTAAGTCGGGATTCCCACCTTTTTTTCGTGTAAATTAAACGGAAGAAAAAGTCTTTAAAAGCTCTCCATGCAAAAAGCTATAAAGGCGTTGGCGGTTTACAGCCGGCTGTTTACCTTGGGCGTGACTGTAAACAATGAGCGAGCGCGTCAGAAGGCAGCATGCCAAATTGTGGATT